TGTGTCAAGAAACCACTGGTTTCCTGAAGCATGGGAAGGAGGTCAGGGTCATTCCAGGTCATAGTCAGCCCTCGAGTTATTCCCATGATGATGCTGGCAGAGAGGTCAGAGAATCCAGCCAGGGAGGCCAGGCTTTGCCAAGTAAATGGTGATCATTGGTAAATTACTTAAACGTTTAAAGCCTTAGTTCCTTTATCATTGCTCCCAAAGTTTATATGTGTGTGTTTGTGTGTGTGGTATACATGTGTGAATATCCACATTTACGTGTGAGGGTGTGCAATACCCACGGCCACGGGAGGCAAGGATAGACCTTGCTTGGCTTCCTCCTCCCGGTTTTGTTCCGCCTGGGCTGCCAGCCCATTGAAGAGTGCTGCTCACATTCAATCTGTGCCCCTCACTTACTAGGTCAAATGTGTCTAGGAACGGCGTTCCAGATACACCCAGAAGTGTGCTTTACGGACCTCTTCGGCACCTCTCCGTCTAATTGAGTTGACAGTGAAGACTGGCAGGCACACTGCTTTCCCTCCTGTCCTGGGAGGAGCGGGAAGCCTGCAGGGACATCTGAAGTGGGAGGCAGGAGGTTTTGCGGTGAGCTGGGCTACACTCTGAGTCGGGGGTGGATTCAGAGCCCAGGATACTCGGTGATGAAAAGGATACTTGACTGCGGTGGTGCACACCTTTAACCCCAGCACACGGGAGGCAGAAGCAGGCAGAGCTCTGGGAGTTTGAGGTCAGCCTGGTCTACTGAGTGAGTTCCAGGACAGCTGAGGCTATGCCAAGAAACCATGTCTTGAAAAACAAACAAAAAACAAAAACAAACAAGGCAAAACCAAACAAACAAAAAAGAAATTCATACTCCAACTAGGTGGAGTAAAACACAGGACAGGTGTGTTTTGTCAACTTGACATAAGCTAATTGTGGGATCCAAGGAAGCTCTGAGGGGATGGGTAAAGAGGGGATGAGGTCTGACCCCAGTAAGTTCAGGTCTCAGCCATGTTGGTCATGGTAGCTGGGTCATCTGGGTAAAGGGAACTTTTGTTCTTTTTTTTTAAAAAATAATAAGATGATGGGATGTCCCGGGTAGCTCGCAGAGCAGCTGCTAGTGGCTGTGGGTCCCTGCAAGATCTCCAGGGTGGCAGCGCCATGTGGCCGGGGGAGTCAGGGTCCCCGGGTGAGCGGCAGAGTCAGGCGGCTGGATGTGGTGGATGGCAGAGTAAACGGACATAAGGCTATACATAAAGCTAGACATTTATTACTTAAAAAAAGGGAGACATAGACAAACATAGAGAGAACAAAGACACACGTACATACGACACGAAACAAACACACACACACACACACACACACACACGAGAGTGAAGATGGTGGTGGGGGGAGGTGGGGTCAGAAGTGGCTGGGGTGGGCGTGGTTAGTTCTTAAAGTGTCCCAATAGAATAACAGGAACCTCAGTTGAGAAGATGACTCCATTAGACTGGTCTGTGGGTGATTCTGAGGAGGGCATTTTCTTGATTAATGATTGATGTGGGAGGGTTCACAGCACTGGGATGCTACCAACCCTGGGCAGGTGGTGGTCTTGGGTAGCATAAAAAAACAGGCAGAGCAAGCCATGAGCGAGCAAGCCAGTGTAGCCATGGCTTCTGCTTCAGTGTCTGCCTCAAGCTCCTGTCCTGGCTTCCCTGACTGATTCACTCCAGCATTGAAACGTAAACCTCAAATCAACCTTTCTCTTTCTTCAGGATGCAGTGTTTTTCCTCGGAAGAAGTTTCTGCACAGCAGTACTGGGGCTGGTTATTGTGTTTGCCAGGTAAGAACTTCACAGACTGAGCCATCTTCTCAGCCCCAAGATGGGAGAGTTCTAGTAGCGGTTGCAGATTAATCTGCATGCTGTACATGCATCATTCCTAAGCATCAGTCAAACAGCATTAAAGCACCAAGGCCCTTGCCACTGAGACGGGTGCTGAAGTCGGTTTGTGTCAGGTTTGACATGAAGAGGGGGTGGGGGTGGACAATAGCTTTGAGACTGAGAGGGACATGGTCGGAGACCCATGTGAAGTGATGTTCTGGACCAACAGCAGGGGAACTGAGGTGGCAGGAAACAAGTGAGCGCTGTCTGTCTTTCTCCTATTGATTGTGTTTGTATATCCTGGAGAGGCTGAGAAATCCCAGTGTCAGCAGAGAGCGGCTACCCTGCTGCTGTGGGAAATGACTGCCGGGAAGCGGTCACCACAGGGAAGGTGACCCTGCTGATCTGGAGCCTGGAGGCGCTTGAGTCATTTTTGGATGCTTGGGTGGAGTGAGGAAGCGTTTGCTGGGGCACTTGCTCATGTTGCTGGAGGTAGAGCCCCACGCCAGACACAGCAATGAACAAAGACGGGCAAGGTTTCCACAGCAGGGCTGGGCTAGGGTCATTTCTGGACATTTGGACAGCCTTTCGGAGTTTGGAGAATTGGTGTTTCCTCTGGACCTGTCAAAGGTCAGAAGACAGCAGTGACTGCTGTCCCTCAGGTGCTGTCTGTCGTGTGTTTCGAGGCAGGTTCTCTCACTCGCCTGGAACTTACCAAGTAGGCTAAGCTGGTTGGTCATCCACCCCAGAGACCTGCCTACTTCCACTTCCCCAATGCTAGAATTACAAGTTCATGCCAACTGCTGTGCCCAGCTTTTTAAAACGTGGGTCCCAACTGGACTCAGTTCTTTGTGCTTTCCTTTGCCGACTGAGTATTCCCAGAACCCCTTAATTTTCTTTTAAATGAAAAGACTATGTTTTGAGTATATTACTTTGCAGTTTCTTTCTTGTATGCATTGTGAGAAAGCTCATCTCTCTTTCCATTTGGGGAACTACAAGCTTACAGAAACATGCTAGGCGTGACAATTGGGTTGGTGTGTGTGTGT